CCAAGAGCAGCTGTCCTCTGGGGAGGGAGGGAACTGGGGCGTCAGGGCATGCCAGGGACACCTGCGTGCGCTGTTGTGAAACCTCAACCTGCTCCCAGGCCCACACCTCCCGCACCGCCCTGAGCCCACGGGCCCTGAACCACAGCCCCGGAGAGCTGCAGCGCCTTGGGCTGCCTCCTTGGTATTTCTGTGTCTTCAGACTTCTGCTTTTAGAAGTGGGAAGAAGCAGTGTTGTCACGATTTCTGGAAAGGTGGGAACCTCAAGGATGGGCCCCCAGCCCCAAGGAGGCCACGGCTGGCCCGTAGCCTCATGGGGACCCACCTCCGTCCAAGATGGCCTCGTAGGTGACCTCCAGCAGCAAGCGCAGCTGGGGGTCCATCGTGTGAGCCTGCTTTGGGTGGACCCCGAAGAAGGAGGCGTCGAACTTGGACAGGTCCTTCAGCTTGCCAGACCGCCTGGGCAGGCCGTAGAGCCCTGCGGACACAGGCAGTGGAGGGCTGTGGGACCGAGGGACCAATGGCAAAGTCCCTGCCGTGACAGGGGGCCATGAGCGCCTCAAGAAGACTGGGCAGGGGCCAGTGTTGCTGGGTCTTGGGGGCTCTGTGGGTGACACCAGCCCTGCTTCTGAGCAGGGGCCCCACTGGGTAGCCATTTGGGAGGTGGCCTCAGAGCAGAGCACAGTGGGGACGGGGCCTCCTCCCGCTCACCACTGCCCCAGCCGGAGACCCCTGCCTGTCCTAATGCTGCCTGGTGGCCGCGGCCAGCCCTACTCCACCGGCTGACTCACACCCCGCAGATCAGGTACAACGGCTCTGCGGAAGAACCTCCTGGGCGGGAGGGAGTCAAACCAGCTTCCCGAGAGAACCCGGCATCTTATCTGGCAGTGGCTGGCGGGGCTCTGAGAGACAGGGTGGTGGGCGGTGGGACCACAGGTGCCTGCCCCACCTGGCCTCATCCTGGATCTGCCCCCCCCAGTGGGTCACCTAGCTCGGCCATGCCCAGGCTTGGCTCTCAGTCCCCAGCCTTGCCTTGGTGTCCAATGGCTCTGCCGCTGGGACGGGGGCTCAGGCTGGAGCCGGTCTGCCCTGTGTGGGAGGGGAGTGCAAGGGGCCACCCACTCACCGGCCTTCCACCTCCTGTCATCGTCTGTCACCATGTCTACGCCGCCGATGAGATTGGTCCAGAACTCCTGCATGTTGTCCGACTCGGGCAGCTTCCCGGACATACCAGCGATCACCACCTCTTCCATGTCTGCTCTGTACAGGGAGGGCAGTGTGGGGGCCTGGTGCTGGTCAGCGGCGGGGGCCACACCACCAGGATGCAGCCTCCCGCCCTCTCCCCTGGCTTCCCGACCCCACAGCACCACCTATGGGTCTGAGAGCACTGAGACCACGATCCGAGTGGCCAGCTCCTGCGCCCTGCACGGGCAGGGACAGAAGCCCCGGGTGCACGGGGTGGGGGTCCATGGCGGTCCAGCCAGCCCTTACTCGTCATTGGGAGGATCGGGCCCTCTAGCCTTTGGCACTGACCTGTCCCATGTGGGACCCTGGCCTGGGTGACTACCCCATGGCCCTGCTGCCCTGTACTGTGGGTAGGTGGGCTCCGCACCCTGCTGCTGGGGTGCTCCTGGGACAGGGCCATCCCAGAAGGGCCAAACTCTTCCCGGGACGGGGCCACTCGGCCCTCAGTCTGTTGGGAGCTGACCCAGGGAATCAAGCAAGCAAAAGAGGGTGCCAAGTCTGAGGGAAGTTGGGGGAGTACCGGGCCACACTGACCAGTGGGCCCTGCACCCCACACACCAGCTTGTTCTCCATTGGGGGCAGCGCATGGACTGCCAGGGCTTGGGAGGGACATGGGTGTCCCAAGAGCCAAGCCCCTGCAGGTGGACCCACCCAGCTGGTCTGACCAAGCAGGGTCCAACCCGGGAGGCCCGTCCTTGGTTAGGGGCCAAGCAAGTGCTGCTCACGCCCGCACACCTGTGCAGGTGAGGCCTCAGGACACCCCCGGCCGACCTCTGCACAGCCTGGCCGACCACCCAGACTCAGGTCCCTCAGGTCCCCCTGCACGGAAAGCCCCCACAGCCCTGAGCACGGGCGCTCCTGGGCGGCCCCTGGAGGAGCGGGCAAAGCCAGGCTTGGTCCGGCCACTTCCGCCAAGGCCCCAGGGCCTCGTGGCGCTAAGGACCGGCGGACACGCCAGCCTCTGACTGCCCCGGGTCCCCGGGCCTCTCCGAGCAAGGGAGCGCGAGCGGAGAGCAGCGTCCTCGTCGCGTGGCCCGGCGTGCCCGAGTCCTGGCCCGGAGGGAGCCCCCACCCCCAGCACCGAATAAAGAGCCCTTTGGCGGCCCGGGCAGCCCGGCTCCGGGGCGGCCGCTGCCTCCAGAGAGCGCCCGCGGTCCCCCTACTTGCTATTCACCGAGCGCGGCGCGGCCCGGGCAGGGGCTGGAGACCCCGCGGCGCCGCCTCGCCTCGCCGCCCGCCCGCCCTCCGACGCTTGGGGCTCCGCGCGGCGCCCACGTGACGCGAGCCGGCTCCCCACCCCCCACCCCGCCACGGCCCAGCACCCCGGCCCCGGCCCTCGGCACCGGGGATGCGGGATGCGGCCGGGCGCTGCGGGCCGCGTGGCCCAGCCAGCGACCAAAATGGCTGTTCGCGGCGCGCCCGGCGTCCGCCCTCGCCCACCCGCCCCGCCGGCCCCCGGCGCCCCGCGCACCCACAGCGGGCGTCTCGGAGCCCGCGGCCCGACGGCCCGACCCCTCCCCGCGGGAGCGCCCCGAGACCGCAGCGTGCGGGCCGCCGCCCCGGCCCCCCGGCCCCCGGGCCCCGCCGCCGCCGCCGCCCCGGCCCCCCGGCCCCCCGGTCCCCGGGCCGCGCCGGGCCGCTCGTACCTGGTCTGGCGCGGGCGGCGGCGCGGGCGGCGGAGCGGGCGGCGGAGCGAGGATGGAGCGGGCGGCGGAGGGGAGGCCGGGCCGCTGCCGTCTCTCTGGCTCCCTCTAGGCCGGCGCGACTCTATTTAACCGCGGCCGTCCCCGCGCGGACACGCCACATGGGCTGACAGCTTGGCTGCGCCGCCCAGGCCAATGAGCGTCGGGGCTGCGCCCCGGGACCCGGCGCGCCGCCGCCGATGGGGTGATGCCGCGCGCCGCCGAGCCGCTGGGACCCCGCGCGGGGGCGCGCAGCCGCGGGGAGCCGGGCGCTCGGGGGGCGCCGGGAGGGGCGCCTCGGCACCCGCCCCCACCCCCCCGCCCCCGGCTTCCGAGCCCCGCCCCGCGGGCCCCCGCGCGGAACCTCCGGAGGCGCACGCGCACGCGCCGGGACCCGAGCCCCGCGGCCGCCCCCCGCCCCCTCCCGGGGCCGCCCCCCGCCCCCTCCCGGGGCCGCCCCCCGCCCCCTCCCGGGGCCGCGGGGCCACGTGTGCGCGCCGCGCGGGGGAAGCTGGACAGGGATGTGCTTGGGTGCCACTCGGGGACCACGCTGGGGGCACGCAGGGGGACCGGCCGGACCCCCGGGAACACCGACCGAGCGGCCCGCGCTCTGGCCGCGCGGAACGGGGCTGGCGTGGGGCGGCGGGGGCGGGGCTCGCTCCGCCGCCGCGGCCAATCGGGGGCCGGGGGCGTGCGCACCGGCCCAATGGCGGCGCGCGAGTGGGCGTTGCTAGGCGATAGGGTGATGGGCCGGGCGGCGCGGCGGTCGTTGACCCCTGCCGAGGGCGCCCTGGGCGGGGTCACTGCCGGTCACCGCAGCGCGGCGCGGCGGGCCTCCCCAGTCCCGCGGGCCGGCGCGCGCGCCCCACGGCTCCCGGAGCCCGCGGGTGGGGCGTGCCACGGACACCGCTAGGCGTGGTTCGAACAAAGGCGCCCCGCTGGGCAGAGGCACTCGCGCGCGCACGTGGCCGCTTGCACCCGCGGGCGCGCACACGCCCGGCTGGAGGCTCCAGCCCTGCGTCTCCGCGCACTCCCCAGCTCACGTGCTTGTACAACTTACAGAAAGACCTAGGCTTCCAGACCAAAAGGAAACCCACCGCCTGTCTAGGGGACAGCTGACACTCCAAGAGGGCTGCCTCCCTCCCTAGTGGCCACACCCTACAGGACCCAGGCGCCGTATGGGCCCCCCAGCAGGTCCTTTGTGAGGCTATGCAGCTCGTGTCGGGCCCCAGGAGGGCCAGTGCCCAGCTTCCTCTCCACCGCCTCATTGTCTTGAAATCAATGCTGCGCTCCTCGGCGGTCCCTCCAGCTTTGCTTCCGGGAGTGCAGGGACTGTGCAGCAGGCCACTGGCCAGGGACGCTCAGGGACAGCACAGAACGGGACTGGCGGGGTGACACCAGTAGCCGCAGCTTCACTTGGCCACATGCCCCTGGATGCCCCATAGTGCTCACCAGCCCGATGAGGTCCTCGTGGTCCCTCCACGCCCTGATGCTTCCATCGTCCCTTTGCGTCTTGTCACTGGGGAGCTTCTAACTCCTGACAGTGGAAGGAAGCGCAGGCCAGGAAAAGATGGGAGAGTGCCCTGAGGTCCAACAGGCAAATTAATGTCCTGAACAACCTTCCCATGGGTTTTTCTTTCTCTTCCAAATTAAAAATTTTTCAGCTACCTTGTACCCTAGGCCAGGAGTCACTGGACCATGGTGCATCACACTCCCAACCTTGGGTGACTTGAACGGTCCCAGGCTCATTTCTTGCTGGTCAGTGGGGCTCTGCTCACTGCAGCCTGCAAGGGGCCAGATAATGGGGGCCCACCCCAGGCTGGGCCAACCTGAGATGGAGGGCCTGGGTTGGTACCTTCAAGGGAGGGCTCGGAGACTGGCTCATGGGCTCTTTTTTTTTTTTTTAAGATTTTATTTATTTACTTGACAGACAGAGATCACAAGTAGGCAGAGAGACAGGCAGAGAGAGGGGGAAGCAGGCTCCCCGCTGAGCAGAGAGCCCGATGTGGGGCTCGATCCCAGGACCCTGAGATCATGACCTGAGCCGAAGGCAGAGGCTTTAACCCACTGAGCCACCCAGGCACCCCGCTCATGGGCTCTTAAGTGCCTCTTCGGAAAGTCACAATGCATCTCCGCTCAGGTTTTCAGCTTAAGGAAGTCACACAGCCACGCCTCACTTCTAAGGACACACCAGAAACGGCAGAGCCCGCACCACCCCCCTCGGCAAGTCTTCCTCCAGGTTGCTTCCTGGCACAGCGGGGGGGGCCCCCCCCGCATGGCCTCTGCAGCTCCTGGAAGCACAGTGGGCCCAGGCCGAGTATTATCCTGTGGCAAGGACGTCCCCAGGCCCGTGTGCCGTCACATGGAGCTCAAGGGTGCGCGGGATGGGGCAGGAGCCATTGCAGACCACTGGAGCCTGGTCTGTGGTCTCTTGGCCCGACATCAGGGCGACGCGTGAGCTGCAGCACCACCCGTTCATGGTCTCTCCCTGCGATGTGCTTCCACAAGCGCCCCTGCACCTGGGAGCCAGGTGGGGAGAGCACGTCGTGCACATTCTACATGAGGTCAACGGAAGCCACAAAGGTGGCACGATGTGTGCCGGTCAGCCTTCCCCCAGCACTCTCCCATCCTCCCAGAGAAGCCGTCTGCCCGGTTCCGTGGGAGCCGCTGCCCAGAAAGGGAAAGCCTGCACGCGCAGAGAGCTCAGGCTGCTTGAGGGCACGACCGCACTCTGCCTCAGGCGTGGACAGACTGTCTCTGTTAGTGAGCGCTGCCGCGGGCACGGAATGGCCTGGCTCTGCCAACCAGGTGTGGACACCAGAGGAGCCAGAGGCTGAGGGCTCTGGGGGAGCACAGCAGGAAATTGGGGTCGTTCCCTGCAGAGCAAGTCCGCAAGTGCCAAGCATGTGTGGTTACAGTGTGTGAGACGTTTCTCAGGTAGGGAAGTGTGGGTGTGGTTTTGTGGTACTTGGAGCAAGGGGTTCAGTGTCCAGCCCCAGGCATCAGGCTGTTGGGAATGCCTCACTTCTGTCCTACGTGGGGAGCGGACGTAGAAGGCTCCAGACTGACCTGCTGTGTTGGCCTCACGGGGCCAAAGAGGTCTGGAAGTGCCACCCCCACATCACCAGGGGCCAGATGCCAGCAGCTAGGCCGTCCCTTCTTCCAGGAGGTCCCCACGCATGGCAGCACCCTGTGGGGAGATGCCTGTTTTGTGGACGGATATTCTGCTCCCAGTGTCCCCCAGCACCGCAGCAGGCTTACCAGCCACGCTGCCCTCCTGGCTTCCTCTCCCAGGTGAGGACTGCAGGGCTGAGCACGAGCATGGGAGGCACAGGCTTTTATGGCTCTGGGTCGGTCAATGGGGCCTCTGCTCCGGGGCCGTGGGCACACTCACACTCTCCTCGTGCACATGTGGGCACTCACACACACCCCCCACCCCGATGCGGGATGAAAGCACGGGCCCCACGTGCCAACACGGGACGGGAGGCTGGACGGCGGTTGCCATGAGGAAGGCCCGAGAAGTCAGTCCTTCAAATTGTAGTTACGGATCTTAGGGGGCTGCTGGCAGCCTTTAAGTTTTGAAGGGGGAGCTCTGGCGGGTCTGGCGGGGAGGGCCTTTGCCCGAGCTTCCATCTTCATCCCTTCGACGGTAAAGGCTGCCCGTGTCGCCACAGAGCTCGCGGCCGGGTGTCCACGGCTGTCGGCTGCTGGTTGCACAGTGCACTCTGCAGAAGGACAGCAAGAGAAAAGCCTGTCACAGCACGAAGGGAGGAAGGGGCAGGAAGCCTGGGCTCCCCGAGGACGAGCTAAGCGGCTGTGCCTCTCGCCCGCACAACCCAGAAACCCCATGCCTTGGCCCTCAGAGTAGAGCCCGTCAGGCCAGAGGTCCTCCCTGGGGGACGAGCTCCGCGGCTGCAGCTGTGCCTCGGGGGCCCGGCTCGGGGCGGATCTCTGGGACACACACGCCTGGGCCTGCTCCTCCACTGGGCGCTCTGGACACACCATCTCCTACTGTGACCATTTTGTAATGGGTCCCCCGGGCGGGTGCTGAGTTAATGGTTGACCCAAGGCAGGTCTCAGGCCGTCCCCAGCTGTCAGCCACCTTCTGCCTGCTGGCTGTGCTTGCCAGCCCCTCCAGCTGCCCAGCAGCCCTGATGTGTGCGTTCAGGCACAGGCCGAGGACCCAGGAGCCTGGCCCACGTGCCGCACGCGTGGGCCCACACTCAGGGGCAGCCTTTCCGTAGTGGCCACCGCGGCGTCTCTGGACTCGGGCACAGTAGGGGGCTTCCAGTTTCCAAGCTTCTCTCTACTTGGCAAGTTTTTAGAACTAGGACTATATTTCTTTTGTAAACAAAACAAAAAAGATGGTGGTGGGAAGCAGCTACAGCTGGAAAGTTCCCAGAGAGGTCAGAGTGGCTCTCCCTTGTGGGCTGGCCCAGCAGGGAGGGCCGGGGTCCCTGAAGTACCCCAGGAGGGTCCCGGCAGATGGGAAAGCTATCCCAGAGAGCACACGTGGGGCAAGGTGGGGCCCGGCACCAGCATCTCACACACGAGACACACGGGTGACACACACACCACACGTCTCGGAGCCAACTCCCCAGGGCCTGGACCCCACAGGGCAGTGTGCGGCACAGGTGGGGGACACCGTGTGGTGGCGACCCACCCGGGTGAGGTCTGAGAGCAGGCCGAGGGGACAGGAAAAGGCCTGTGCTCTGGAAAGCACACACAGGTGAGGCACACTGTGGGCTTGCTGGTAGTGTCCCCAGTGCTGGGAGGTGGAGGTCTGCCATGTGTACCCAGGTCCCTCGCCCTCACCTTGGGCCTCTTCTGTCCTCTCAAGTACCTGGAACTGGTCTGTTCCCTACAGGCTCCCTGGGGTCACACAGCCTTAGGCCCCCTTCCTGGGGCCAGGCCCCGTTCTCCTCCTAGTGCCTGGGCTCCAAGCACCGGGATCCTGGAGTGGGGCAAGGTTGGTCCCTGGATGTCCCTGTTCCTCTCTGCTTCCCGAGGCCATGGCTGTCTCCCTCATGGAGGAAAGGCCCGTGCCTTTGCTTCTCCAACTGCAGACCAGTTCCTTCCCCTGCACACGCCCACTCTCATCGGCCCCATCCCGACAGCTGATAATATCTGGGCCCGTCCTGGGCGCCTGGGGGGCTCAGTTGGTTGGGCGACTGCCTTCCGCTCAGGTCATGATCCTGGAGTCACAGGATCGAATCCCGCATCGGGCTCCCTGCTTGGTGGGGGGTCTGCTTCTCCGTCTGACCTGCCCTCTTCTCATGCTCTCTCTCAAATAAATAAATAAATAAATAAAATAAAAAAAATCTAGGCCCACCCTCTGCTCCAAAGGCAGTGGCCAGCGGGGAGGGGCAGAGTTGGGACCCTGACCCTACAATGTGAGGGACCAGCCCTTGCAGGGGTTCCACGGGCCTGGCCTGAGCTCCCCCTCGCCATCCACTGCCACTGGGGTTGGAGAGGCGGGGGGGAAAGTGGCGCTCTGGGAGGAGGAAGAGCCCAGGCCCCGAGGCCTTGTGCTTGGGGGGCCCGTGACGCGGACAGTGGGAACAAGGCCTCTGAAAGAAAACGGCGGAGGCAGCCATGTAGTCTTGGGGGTCTTTGTCACGCCCCTTCCCGCAGAGCCCTCCCTGAGGCGGCGAGGAGGCAGCCAGTTGCCCCAGGTGTGAAGCTGTTTGCCCTGTGGCCACAGCCCGAGACACGCCCTCCTCGCTCAGGCTGGTTTGTGGCAGGGGAGCCCCCTCCGCTCTGCCCTTCCCGGCCGCCCCTGCAGAGCCCAGCCGGGACCGCTCTGTCTGCACTGGGGCCTGCCTTGCCGGCTGCCGGTCCGGCCCCCCCCGGGCCCGGGGCCTCACAGCTAAGAACGTGAAAGCAGAAGCCTGTGTCTGTGCCGGCTCCCAGGGCTCTGGGAGTGCTCCGAGCTTCCCGGCTGCCTGGAGCTGCTGCTCAGCCCTCTCCTGACTTGGGGAGGCTGGCTGCTCTCCAGCCTGACTCTCCAGAGCCTTCCTTGGGGCCACGGGGGCAGCTCAGCTCTCAAGTCCTTGTTGCGGCCTTGGACACGAGGGACAAGGCCTCCTCAGGCTCACGGCAGCCTTGGCTGGTGTAGGCAGCCCTCCTGGCTCCCCTCCTTCCATCCTGGGTGCTGATAGGCCCTGCTTCCACTGAAGCCTCCCTCCTGCTTCTGTGGGAGCCCCTCATGCCGCAGGGTCCAGCCCTTCTCAAATGGATGAATTGTACCCCCACCTCGCCGTGCCCCTCATCCCAACCCCCGCAACTTTCCCTGTAAGCAGGCTCCATGCCCAGTGTGGAGCCCAACATGGGGCTTGAACTCATGGCCCCGAGGTCAAGACCTGAGCGATCAGGAGTCGGATGCGAAACCGACTGAGCCCCCAGACGCCCCCCAGCCCTCCTTTTGATACATTGTTATGAATTAGATCAGGTCAAACTCCCCAGAAGCTTCCAGGGCTTCCTACCATGGTGGGATGGAGCCCAGGCCTTCAGTAGACAATGCATCATGAGGGGTGGCCTCTCTCCTAAGCCCATGCCCCGAGTCTCCAGAAGCTGCCAGCTACTTCCCAGAGCCCCGAGTCTGCCCGGAGTGACCCTGCAGGGAGCTCCTGTCTGCCCTCGGTACAGAGGCTCTGGGTGGACACTCCTGGGCACGGCTGTACTCAGCAGGGGGAAGGCAGTGCATAGGAAACCCCAGATCCTTCAGGGCCCGTCAGGCTGCCCCTGGCCTGGGGCTGGAACCCTCTTGTTAATCACACTGGCATGCCTGCTCTGCCCCCTCCTCCCTGAGGTTAATACCCAATGCCAACCCTTAATCACTCCTTCCTACTATCATTTTCGGGGTGCCCCTCCCTAGATCTGAGTTTGCCCAGGCCTGTCTGCTGATGCCTCCCAGTGTGGCCCAGTGTGGTTCCTGTCCTGCGTCTCAGGAAGCGCCGCTGGGCAGCAGGGAGCATCCTGGGGCCCCAGGGAAGGGAATTTAGGGGACATACCCTGTGAAAGCAGCTAGCCCTCCCCTTGTCGGGGGCTGATTTGTCCGAGGCGGGCAGGCAGAACCCGGAGAGCGGCCCAGCCCTCCACATGGCCTCTGTTCCTTCTCTGGGCCCTGAGGCTGGGCAGCACAGGAAAGAGGAGCTGACAGAGGCCAGAGGTGGGGCGGGCGGGCCGCAGAGGTGTGGGTGCAGGGGTGGGGGTGGGGCCGGGACAGTGAGGACTGCAGGTCCGGGAAGGAGCAGAGAGTGATGGCCAGTCCATCAGCCCCGCAGACGCGGTGGCGGGAAGAAGTGCCTGGGCCCCAGAAGGGAAAGCGTGCAGTGGACAAGCCGGGGGTGCGGCCTGTCTGAATAGGACATCGGGACCCTGGGCCGAGGGCCTGGGGAGCATTCAGAGAGCCGTCCTGTGAGGCACAGGGAGCAGAGGGGGAGGGGTGGGCTCGCACCTGCCTCCTTTCCACAGATCTAAGCCCAAAAGCTGGCTAAACGGGGTGAGATTCACGAAGGACTAGTGTCCACACGGGACCATGGCGGGCACACCGCGGTCACAGCCGGCAGGCTCCCTGCCACCCGTGCTGGGGCCGTCCGGCCTCGTGCCCCCGGCCACACGCCGCAGTGAGCTGCTCTCTGCCCCTCTTGGCGGAGGCTGCTGCAGGGGACTGAGGTAATGCTCTCCTTTTTCTCGAAAACGTGGCCCCTTGAGAGGGCTGCCGCTGGCCACATGCCCACAAGCTGCCCACCTTGCTCAAGGCGCTGAGCCACTCTGGCCAGAGGCCTCCCCACACCAGACCCCAAAATGGCTCTCTGGAGGCCCGGTGAGGGCTGCATCCGGGCTGCTCTCGGGAGCCCCAGAAGCAGCGGCAAACGGACAGAACGCCCACAGGCCAACCGCCGAGGTGCCGGCGGAGTAGGGGTCCCCGCGCAGGCTCCCCTGGGTCCGGGGCCTGGCGGTCAGGCTCTGGGCCGTGGCGTGCGGCTCCGGTGCGGCTCCCTGTCTGGCCGCAGCTGCGTGGGAAGCAGCAAGGCCCGTGGTGGCTTCCCGGGGCGCTTCCCTCCGGAAGGGCTGGCCACGAGAGGACACGCGTCCTGTGTGCCGAGTCCTGACGCCGAGCCAGCAGGGCTCAGGGCACAGCTTTCTGCACGCATTCCTGTCTCATCCCCGCGCCGCGGTGTCCCCGTTCCCCTTCACCGCCCCCGACCCTCTCCAGGAGACCCAGGGGACGGTGGTTAACTTGGCTCCAAAGGGGGGTGGGCGCGATAGGCATCGATGTCCCCCTCCTCAGGAGGCCAAGCCAAACTGCACGGAGACGTGGGCCTCAGGGCCTGAACCACAGTGCCACGGCCGTGCTCCCGACTCAGCCTGGAAAGGGGCCCGGCCACCCTTGGGGGCTGGACTCCAGCTGAAAGGGGGCCTCGGCTGCCCGCAGGGTCCAGAGCGTCTCTCCGCCTCGTGCCCCAGCTCAGGAGGCTTCACGAAGCCCAGAAACCGACCTGACGGAGCCCCTGGCTGCCCCACGGGCCGCGCGGCCCACCTCCTCCCTGGCCTGACAGAATGTCAGCTAGGACACGTCGGCCTGCCTAGAAGGTCCTCCACCCACAGGAAGCCAGGGGCCGTGAGTGCGGCCCAGCTTCCAGCCCAGCGGCCCGTGGGCGGCTCTGCGAGGGCCCGGGTGGCGGGGGCGGGTGGAGGCACCACGGACAGGCCAGAAGAC